CAGCGCCTTGGGGCGGGCTCCCCAGCCCCCCCGCGCCCCGGCTTGCTCGCACATGCTCAGAACGCCGGCCCCGGCCTCCTGGAGCTGCGGGGGTCTCGGTCTGCTTCCCGTGCGCCTTCGGGCAGTGAAAAGGCAAGTAGGGGCCGGGCGGTCTTCAGAACCAGCCCTGCACCGAGAGAAAATGGCCAAAGGAGAAGTAGGGGGCGCAAAGAGCGTGGGAGGAAGAAGAAACAGGGAAGGAGTCGCCCACTGGGGCTCTTGGAGAGGCAGGGTGGAAATCAGGAACTGGTGGCACGAAAGGCTTGGCAAGAGCCTCCTACATCTATCCCACGCGGGTCCCCCCGACCCCACCTCTGACCTTCTGGCCTCCTTGTACTACTGCTGGTCACCACAACCAGTTCCCCCCGGGAAACACCGCCCTCTTATTTTAATTGAGGAGGTGTCAGGAGAAATTAGACACTTAGTTGCTATTTGATGATAGCACCCGTAGCGTTCTGTAAAACTGCCCCTCTAAAGGAACCTCTCAGAAAACGCCATCAGGCCACATTTTGGCTCCACAGATCAGTAGAGAACTTTGCTATTTGACAGGCTCATTTTAAATGCTTTTCAAATCTGAAACCTTTAGGGCATTAGGCCCGTCAGGCCTAACCCAGGCACCTTCTCTCCAACAATGTATTTCTTCATTGGTTCAGGAACCGTGTGTGGATCAGTTCAGTGACCCATGCAGATTTTTTTCTTTTTCTCACAATCATCCATTTTCTGCCTGGTTCTGCCAGTAAGTTGTACTGGACCTTTCCAAAAGGCATATAAACAGGCCCCTAATGCACACGTCTTTACTCACCCCCTCTCTCCAGCTTCTGCGCTCTTTTTATGCCTTCCCTCTAAAGCAGTACTGTAAAGAATTACCTCTATTCATTGCTTTCAGTTTCTCTTCCTTCCATTCTCCTTTGAACTTCCTTTTGGGCAGTTGCCCCTCTCTACTGCACTGAACTGCTCTAAGTCACCAATGATGTCGTTGCCGCTAAACCCAGAGGTCAGTTCTTAACACATCCATCAGTAGCATTGGGCCAAGTTGTTCAGTCCCCGAATCTTGAAACACTTTCTTGCCTTGGCTTCCAGAAAACATTGTTTGTTTTCCTCCTACCTCGCGGCCACTTTTCACCGAGTCTCCTTGCTGGTTCCCCCTCACCTTTCTCACTCCATAAAGTTGAAGTGGCCTAGGAGTCCTTCCTTTGTCCGCCTCACTTCTCTATCTACACGCATCCACTCTGTGATCTAATTCAGTACCAAGGCCTTCAACTTCATACGGGTGGCTCCCAAATACATATCTCTAGCCTTGAACTTTCCCTTGAACTTCACACTTCTAAATCCACTATCAATTCAACAACCCCACTTTGATGTCTAAGAGCCATTTCCAGCCTAAACTACTAATCTTCCCCCTAAAATTTTCTCCTCCTGCCATCTTGGCTCTGATTTCTATCTTTTTTGCTTTACTTTCTCAAATCTCCTTTCTAAGCCATCACAAATCCTATCTGCTCCATCTTTGAACCAGAATCACATCACCTCTCACCACCTTTCTGCTACCATCTTGGTCCAAACAACCAATATTTCTTTCTTTTTTTAAATTTATTTTTACTGTTGACACTATTATAGATGTCCCCATTTTCCCGCCTTTGCCTGCCTCCACCCAGCCCTGCCCCTCCCTCTGGCCATCACCACCCTGTTGTCTGTCAACCAACATTCCTCACCTGACTTTCCCCAAGAGGCTCCTAACTCAGCCAGAGTGATCCCGTTGAAATGTAGGTCAGCTCACTGCTGTGCTTCAAAGCCCTACTGCCTCCCCATCCACCCCCCAAAGTCATTTCCATGGTCTAATATATTTCACTCCATATTAACTCTCTGACCACACCTACTCTCTCCTCTCCCCTCTCCGTCTCTCTTACTCTTCTTCAATCACATTGCCTTCCCAGCCCTTCCTGCAAAGCACCCAGCATGCCTCAGAGCCTTTGCACATGCTTTCCTCTATCTCTGGAACTTTTTTCCCCTAACTGTCCATGTCTGCTCTGTCTAGAAGGTCACTCACTCAGTGAAGCCTTCCCTGGCCACCCTAGTTAATCTGCAACCCTCACTCCCCACCCCACTCTTCCTATCCAGCTTTCCTACTTTGTTTTCCTTCAAAGCATGTGTCACCGTCTAACACAATATATTTCTTACTTATTTCTTTATTGGTCTCTCCACACATACATACAAATGTAAGCTTCAAAACGTTAAAGATTGTGTCTATCACTACTCTATTCTTAGCGCTTAAAATAGTGCCCAGCCTATAGTAGGTCCTCAATAAGCTACTGAATCACTGAGTCACATTCCTCCAACCTCACAGAAATCTTCTCTAGGAGAGGGGGAAAAAGTCTGAATAAATAATTGTGTTAAATGCTTATATACTCATATGAAGAATAGTATGGGCATAAAGAAGGGATTGGTCAGTTCTGAGGTGGAACAGGAGAGGGGTCCTTGACATGAGTCTTCATCGGGGAGCAGGTGTCACCATCCCCACCGTAGACCATGCAGCCAGCTGCTCAGTGTTACTGACGACCCTCCAGGAAACTGCCTTGGCATCAACTGCATTCTTATAGGCCACAGAGAGGAGTTTGTTAAGGTCTCTTGCCACCTCTGTGGCAGGAGGTCATGTCATGGTGGAGCCTGGCCTTCTGGGCCAGCAGACTCCCGCCATGGCTACCTCAGTCCCCCATGTCACGCCCACGTGTGGCTTGACCATATCTTGCATTCTACCCTAGGACTTCTCTGCCGTCCAGCAGGTCCCGCTGTGTCTCCAAGCACGTACAACAGGAAGTGTTGGTGAGTTAATGCCCTGGGGCCTGAACTTTGGTCAAGGGCAATGGAAGCCAGTATATAAATGTTTATTCCTTTCCCACTCCTGCCCATTGGTCCACACACAATAACTTCCAACAGCCTTTCTGAAAATATCTTGTGATACAAAGCAATCAGCTTATTTCAGCAACTCACTCCCTTCTATTTTCTCTCTCTTTCTCTGCCTCACTCTCTTTTTTCCTCATTCCTGCTTCTCTGAAATTACAACTTCCCTGGAATTGCTCTTTTTTTCTGGAGAAGACAAGCTAAGATAGTATTCCGTTCCTGTTCACCAACTTTGAGAAGGGGGTGGGATTTCAGGAACATTTTGAAAGACCGGTTTTGTTGGACAGTGGAATGATGATTTGCTACCTCTCTGTGAATCTTATGCAAGTCACTTAGTTTCTAAGAACATTTTGATGCCCTTTGGTGTAAGTTGTGCACCAATCGTTCCTGTCTTGCCTGTGTTACTCAACTGTCATGAGGCTCACATGAGATAACACATATGGGAAGAGACTTGTAAACCTTCCACCTCTACGCACATGTACAGTGTAGCAAACGCCTACTCTTTGATCTGTCCAGCATATCTTCACCAGACAATAGCCCCTCCCTACCATCCTGCATCCAAATGATTACCCCATAAATACAATAGAATACCTGACCATATTTTATTGGTTCCAGGATGGACTTTTGGCCCAAGAGAGCAATTAAAGTTTGTCTTTAGGTATTGGTTGGGGCAGGGGTCAAGGTGACCTTTCTCTGTACACTTGGACTCTAGGATTTCAAACTCAGAAGCTGCTAGCCCCATGCTTCATCATATGGGCAGGGAAAGCGGAAACTAGCCTGAAACAAGGGAGAAGAAAGCAGACCTGTAGAATTAAGTGAAGGTAAGAGACCTATTTCCACAGGGTACCTGGGGGCCAACTGCTTTCTCATCCATGAAACAGTCATATCTTCACAAAAAAATTCTACTTTTTTTTTTGTTGGGTTTCTGTTCTTTTCATCCAAAGGAGTCCCACTATAGACGAGACATTACTCTTAGAGTACACATCTTTAAAACCATGCTGACCTCAGCTCAGGACCTGGGGAAGGTTGGTCTCAGGAAAGACACAGCACAGCGCACCTCCCACGGAAGCCACTTTATACCTGCGCAGAAAAGACTTCTAGTTGTTGACCCAGGAAACCAAAATACAATGTACTCATCAGATGTGTCTGTAGCTCAGTGAGAAAGCCAATAATTGGCCTATAAATAGAAGGTATAAGGAGAGTAAAAAGATGAANGAAGCCACTTTATACCTGCGCAGAA